TATTGCCTGAGACAGGTATAGGGATGAATCACAGATCTAGGACAAAGTTCAAGACCAATTCTGCCATAGCCAGCAGTACATCTTTGGTGAAATCCCTTCAGACTCAATTTCTTCCTCCACTAAATGAGGCAGCTGATTTGTAAAGTTTTCCATTCTGTGAGTCTGTGATCTTGTACTGAAAAGATACTCATGAGAAAATTCTCTTTTTTTCTGGTTTTGTTTCCTAGGAAAGCAACATACTCATTAGGTGCTTGAGATTAATTTTACAATCTGTCTTGCAAATAAAAGAAAGTCACCATTTATTTGGCACCCACAGGCTCACATCCATTATGAAATGAGGTGTGGCATTAATTGATTAACTACAGAGGAGACTGTTAAATGTCAAATGTAGGAAAGTGGCAGTCATGAAGAATTGTAAGAATCATTACACGGTATGAGATGTGACCATGAAACTAACATTAGGAAAGAATCTGCCCTTGAAATAAAGAAAAACAGAGTCTGTGCTACATTATTTCATGTCCATGTTAAAAATCCACATAATGAGGCAACCAAACATGAGGTACAGCTGCCCTTCTCTGGCAGCTTGTTACCCTTTTAATTACTTGTCCTTTTGTAGTGCTAATCTTGGATTTGGTGTACACCACAACTAAACACAGAACAGCCCATAGGTTAAGCCACCTAAGTTTCTTGCTGTAAGCACTGTGTGAGCAGGAATTTTCATCTGTGTTATTCACTGATGTATCCCAAACAGCAAGTACATAGCAAGCATTGAAAAAATGTGCATCACACAGACGGACTGACTTCCTTTCATTTCCTGCCCTAAATAGATAAGTTACGCTCTTTTTAGAATTATTATTCACTTGTCTTTACATCATTAACGTGCTTCCATAAAAAAGAAGCAAACCACAAGAATTTAGCCAAAGGTAGCCCTAATAAAAGGTAGTTTTGTGTGATAGAGAACAACCAACCCAAATGCTTGAAACCTATTTGTCACATTCAAAGAATCTGAATTAGAAGGGAAGGGGGATGGGAATAGGAAAGATAATGGAATGAATTGGACCTTAGTTTCCTATGTACGTATATGAATATACAACCAATGTAATTCCATATCATGTACAACTAGAAGAATGGGAAATTATACTCCACATATGTATAATATGTCAAAATACATTCTACTATCATGTATAACTAATAAGATCAAATAAAAAATAAAATAAAATGAAGAAAAAGAAAATAATTTGAAGTAGAAGTCATATTTTTCTTTAATGTAAAATTACTAAGTAATGGCTTGGGAGACTGAGGCAAGAGGATCACTAGTTCAAAGCCAATTTCAGCAAAAGTGAGGCACTAAGCAACTCAATGAGACCCTGTCTCTAAATAAAATACAAAATAGGGCTGGGGATGTGGCTCAATGGTTGAATGTCCCTGAGTTCAATCCCTGGTTACCCACCCCCAAAAAATTACTAAGAGGACAATCTCAAAGACTGAGAAATTATTTTCTTTATGCTACTAATCAGAGTACTTCAAAAAATAGAAGGAAAAAAAACCTACATAGAGTTTATAAAATGAGATTAAAAATACATGAAAAAAGAGCTATTAATAACTGTCTCTTGTGTTTCTTCCTCTTAAAATTCCAAACAGTGTGGTCTGCTTCATGCCCACATCAAAGCTAGCCAACGGGCTGAGAATAAGAAACGAAGAGAGCATTCAATATCTCTCTCCTGGTGCCTAAACGCATTTTGCAAAAATGTTCTTTGAATCAACAACAAACTTAGAAAACCAGAAACAGAACAGGAAGATAAACCCACAAGTGAAAACAACCATGACATGGTCACACCCCCTTCCAGTTTTCTCCAAAACATTTTTCTTCCCAGATGAACACAATAAGTCAAAGAGCTCTATTTTTAATACATGAGGCTTGGTTGTGGCACAAACAGATCAATGAGCAATCTCTTGTCTTCAGGAAAGCATGAGCCTGTGATACAAAATATGTGAGTTTTTAAAATAGCACGTCTGGCATAGAAATCCTCAGAAAGAAAGGATGCATGAAGCCATGAGCAAAGGTTTCCAAGACAGGAAACTCTCTAAGAGAGAATTTTAAAGTAATGAAAGAGGAAGTGACAATGCATAATTGGGTTCATCATTGCTCAATATTCTCAGGTTATTTTATTTCTCCTCTACCTAGCTATGTAGGAGCTCAGGTTAAAGAAGAAAGGGAATAATTGAAAGGTACCAAGACTAGCTTGAAAACTTACCACTGAAAGGAGAAAAGTAAAGAATAAATCCAGAAACAAAGGGAGGTAATTTTTTAAAAAAGGAAAGAAAAAATACCAGTGTCCACACAGGTAAGCTATATAGAGATTGGGAGAGTCAGGCAGCCATAGGGTCAGTTTTGATGCTGTTAATCACAAAAGGGATTTTAAATTAGGTTTTGTACCATGTTATCAATGGAACTCCCATGCAATTTCTTAGAAGTCTGTAATAAAGATTTACATCACTTTTTGATTATTAATAAATGTCATTTGTAAATTTATTCCATGAATAGTTATTGAAAGAGATGGTTTGTTGGGGCTATTTTTATACTGGAAGCCTTGGTAGAGATGGGCCTTAGGGTGAAGCAAGAAAACACAACAACAACACGAAGAAACGAATCCAGAAGAAGAAAATCATATTCCAATACTGCTCCTGGTTCTATTTTCAGAGAACATCCTTATATAGAAAATGGGGCACAACCATTATGGGAAACAGCATAGAATTTCCTCGAAAAGTCAACAGTAGCAATCTCACCTCTGGGTATATCCTCAAAGGAAACTGAAATCAGCAGGTCAAAGAGTATATCTGCACTAAATGCTCAAAGCAGCAGTATTCACAATAACCAAGGTATGAAATCAACTAGTGTGTCTACCAATAGATGAACAGATAAAGAAATGTGGTATAGACATAAATGGAATACCATTTAGCCTTCAAAGAAGACATTTTATCTGGAGATGTACTGTAGAGTATGGTGAATATAATGAATAATAATCTTCTATACTTGAAAATTGCTTTGAGAAGAGATCTTAAATGTTCTCACTACAAAAAAAAAAAAAAATCCAGAGTGCACGAGGTGATGGTTAATTAGCCTGATTTTATCAGTTTGTGATGTGGACATATAACATAGCATACCCGAGACACCATGAATATATACATTGTGTTCTCTGCTTCAACTGATGGACTGATGGAGCTCAACCATTCATCTTGGAGACTGCTGGTTCCCTAGACAAATTCTTTCCCACAGTAGTCATCACACTGCTTCATTCTCCTCTAAAGGTTAAAGTCAACCATGACCAGGTCTCACAAATCTCTCCTGAGTTGTGATTAAGTATGACCCAATTCCAAACACTGTTTGTCTGAGAAATGCCTTCTACCTAGATGGACGGGCATCAAAATTGCCAACAATAGTAACTCAAGGCTACTTCCATTAAAAATTTGGTCTTTACTCTTAAAAAAAAAAAAAGAAAGAAAATTACTACAATGCTTTCCCTAGATAATGACACACATGAAAAGCGTTCTCCATGATTAACAATGGCATTTGTCTCGTAGCCCGTGCCAGGAAGGGAAGCATGGGGGCAGTATAGTGACAGAGATCTCTTCTAAAAACAGAATATAGTTCATTCTTCCAGCTCTTCCAGGGGAAACTGGATGATGAGTGTGTTGATGTCTTTTAAAAACAATCTGCCTCATGCTCTTAGATCCCTATCCTGATTAATGGCTGACCTATATATTTTTGGCAACACTAGTGCCCTACAGGGCCTGATGATTTGACAGGCATTTAAGGTCCTCGGTGAAGATGAATTTTGAAAAAAGCCGAGATAAGCAGACTAATTTCCTACAAAAGTATTTCTTCTGATCTTTGAAATGGTACAGAGTCCACGTCAGTGGATTATTTCAAGCAAGGAAAAGTTTGCCTTATAAAGACTGCCACTGGAAACAAATTGATCCTCCAGCCCGTTACGTGAGCCAGATGAAGCACTCTCTTGCTGGAAGCTGCAGTGACTCTACCTAGAGAGCCCAGAGAGGGCAAACTAACAGTAGATCACATTTCCTGAGTAAATTATCATCTGTTTCTAATGTATGTGGTGATCATAAAGGTATTGTGAAGATCCAATATGACAATACACAGTCTACTGTAGTCCCAGGCAGGATCATTCCCATATAATAGAAACACATTCAACATATTTCTCAGATTGTGAGAAGGAATATAGAAGGGAAAAAAAAATCATTTCATTCTTTTGTAGCTTCAGTTTTAGACTAGAATATCTCTAAGGATATCAAAAGTATTATAAAATAATATTATCTAATTTGAATTTTGATTTTTGTGACAAATATTTCAAACATCATTTTTTTTACAACAAAGTAATAAGGAAGGTGACCTCTGAAATATTTATTATTTCTACAAGAATTGCTTTGCTCACTGGGCTTCTTTGGTAGATATGTAATTAATTATCATGTTAGAGAAATGAAAGGAGTTTTAGGTAAGAGTTTAGGAACAAGGAGACTAAGACTGAAAGGGAATACCAGACCTAGCATGAAGAAAGATGTCTACTTGGTCTCCTTGCACTGATACCATCCATTAAGACACTGAAAGGATACTAAGTCCTCCTTAGATGGCATGTTCGTACAAATAAGGGGAGATGGACATTTGTAAGATAATTATATACCACTGGCCAACAGCTTCAGTGTAATTTACTGCCTTTGGTTGTCACAACAACTTTGCAACATAGGTATTATTAGCACTAATAGGAAACTGAGCCCATTAAAAAACATGAAAGCAAGTAGAAGCAAAGGTGGGACCTAATGACAAAAGGCCGGTCCATTTCACTGAGTCTCAGAGCCTTCTGGAAAGTTGAATCCTGCAACACCCTTCCTATTTAAAAATTTTTTTCCTAAGTTTCTGATCATTAAACAGTTAAGCTGAGACCTAACGAACCAGAGGATAAAACTACCCCACGGTCACATACCTGTGGTGGAGTCAATGGTAAAGAGGGATGACAGGTCTCCCGGAATGAGTTCGTAAGCCACCGTGCCATATGTCCCAGAATCCCTGTCCGTGGCGCGGACACTGATGATCTCAGTGCCTGGCTGGGTCTGGCCACTGATGCTTGTCACATAGGTCGATGGGTCAAACACAGGATGATTGTCATTCACATCCTCTAGTTCCACACGAACAAAAGCCTGGGCACTTAGCCCTCCCTGTGGGATGAATGAGCGGTGATGAGTGAGCTGAATATACTGGCATAAAGCATAAATGGCAATGATCCTACAACAGACTTCTCAAACAACAAAATATCATTGTACAGATACAGGTATACATATATATGCCCTCACATATATACACATATGTGCACACACACATATTTCATTTTACTTTTAATCTTGACATGACTTCCTATATGATGGCATGTATTTATATTTCAGTGCTGATTCTTAAATATGAATGAGAGAGGGCTGGGGTTGTGGCTCAGTGGTAGCGTGCTTGCATAGCATGTGTGAGGCACTGGGTTCAATTCTCAGCACCATATATAAATAAATAAAATAAAGGTCCATCAACAACTAAAAAAAAAAAAAAAAAAGAATGAGATTACCACTAAAAGAGCTTATAAGCAAAAATTTCAGAGTAAAGGCCAAAGATATTTAATGAAAGTTGTTCTGATGCCTGAAAAAAACTAAAATTACTTTTATCTCTAAAATAATTTGAAGTGAATATTAGTAAGTGCTAAATAAAAGGGATGAGGAAGTATCAGAGGTGGATGCACCAATGAAACACGTCACTCAGAGGTATGAGTGATTTGAGTATAGATTTATATATAGGAGCTTGACTTCAGTTATCTGGAAGATTAAAAAAGAGAGGAAAGATACAAAGGCTCTGTGGCAAGAGGGCAGTGCGCCCCCTGTGGCCTGTTCAGGAACAGCAATGGAGGCCCTGGGGCTGATGTCAGGCAGGGGCAGGTCATGCAGGCTCTGTGAACGTCTTCACTGGAGAGTTTTAAGCACAGGAACAGTTTATTCAACTTCAATTTTAGATAGATAGATAGATAGATAGATAGATAGATAGATAGATAGATAGATAGATAGATAGATATTCAAGTATGCATGCATTGGTCTTTTATTTGCAGTCCTGGAGATTCAACTCAGGGCCTCAAGCATGCTAGGCGAGAGCTCTACCACTGAGCTACACCCTTACAAGGTCTTGCTAAGTTGACCAGGCTATCCTTGAACTTGCAATCCTCTGCCTCGATCCGATCCCCTGAGGAGCTGGGATTACAGGCGTGCACCACAGCACTCTGCTTTTAATTGTTGTCCTGGCTACAGTGCTCACAACAGACTGGAAGGCCGTGAAGAAAGGTCCCAGTGAGGGTGCTCACGGAACACCAAGCCAGGAGTGGACCAGCCCAGACAAGGAAGGAACAGTGAAGGGACTTATTCCATGTCCTTGGGATCACTATTGCTTTGATTGCTTTGGAAATTGGAATTTTTTAGGCTTGAGAAAGGTGACACAGAGCACAAAGCAGTGAGAAGTGGATCCCAGACTATTTATTTTGTGTCACCTCCATGTAAAACCAAAGAGAAGGGGAGCAAACAAAATAGAAGAACACTGCCCCCTGCAATTTTTCCTTTTCTAAAGCATAACATCTGTTCCTACTTTCAGGCCCCATTTTCCATTGCTATCTGGTACATTTTGACACTTTCCAGTTTTGACAAAAATCCTTGGTAAGTCACAGGAGCCTGGATTTCCTCATTTATCCACCCCCCTCCTTTTTTTTTTTCCTTTTTCTTTTGTTCTTTTTGTTCCATTTTCCCACTGCGGCAGGGAGGCACTGAGCAAAGAGGAACAAGAATGACAGTGAAGGAGGCTTGGCATGAGACTAAAAGAGGCCTGCCGCTGTGCGGATGGGAGGAAGCGCATGTGGAGGGTGAGGCAGGGCAAGAAAGACGGCATTGTTCAGGGTGAAACTGACAATGGATTTGGAAATGGCTCTTATAATTCTAAGGTCCCTGTATACCAGACTTTGAGGACTAAAAAGGAATTGAGAAACAAATCTTTAGCAATAGTGATTTTTCCATGTTCCAAGTTGGGTAAAGTTCCACAGCCCTCCCTGCCAGTTACCAGTTAGAACAGGAGTAGTGAGGACTAGTCATGATTGGAATAGAACAGTGCTCACACATCCTTCTGGCCTGTGAACAAACAATACAGACAGGCCTGCACCTTCAGCAAAGTAAAATCACCTGCAGGTGTCTGGGTAGGTACTGGAAGAGGGGACCACAGACTGATTATAAGCAAGCAGAAAATCCATGACATCTGACATATACTCTACTTTTCCTCCAAAGAGCCTGCCTTCTCAGATGTGTTTTTTTTTTCTTCCTCTTTGGTTTCTCCTCAAGTTCAAGCACTCAGGCTGAAGAAGGGCTGAAAAGGCAGATGAGCAAAGTACCAAAAGACTGGGGGAAAATATGAAGAAATGAACATTTCTCCACTCTAAGATCCTTAAGAACAAAGAACTTAATTCCAAGAACATCCTCAACCAGGCAATGCTATTAAAAAAAATCAGCAAATGTTAGACAAAGTGAATGGATTTATTGTCACAGAATTTTGCAAGGAAAATAGACACCTCAGTCTCCCTTTTCTAGAAATTCAATTTTTTTACCTGCTGAATTCATCAAAGGAGGTATTTTCCTATTTTAATAACCATTTATGTGTATTTTAGGTGTATCTTACATGTATTTTTCCTTCAATTGTTATAGTCTTCCTTTTTAAGGTTTTTGTGGGTTTCTTCCTATCACAGATAAGAAATCGAAGCATAGAGAAGCTTGGTGACTTGGTACAGGAGACTATAAATAGCACATCTGCAACTAGAACAAAGATTCGTCTATCCTCAAAGCCTCTGGTGACTTCTTTTAAATTGAGGTTCTTTTACTCTGCTCTGCTGTGGCATAAATTCTACCTCTCCTGTAAGACTGGCTTTGCATGGACTTGACCTTACAGAATAAAATAAAAACAGGGCCCCTGTTTTTAAGGAACTCACTGTCTATAAGACAGACTCTAGGTGGCTAGGTCTGTGGTAGGGCAGAACAATTCAGAGCCAAGAGACTGGGTTCAGTGTCTGGCTGTGCCAACATCTGGGTGTGTAGCCTTGAGAAATTCAGGTGGCCCAAAGCTAAGCCACCTCTTCCATGAAGCTGGGTCATCTGAAGACCTGTCATTGAAATGAGTGGCACAATACAGATAAAAGCATTTTTAATGATTAATAGCCATCAAATATAATAGAAGAACACTGCAAGTTAAATAATTGGAGTCAGAGAGATTTGCCTTAGAATTAAGACTTTCCATTTTAGAAAGGTAACAGAAGATAGCAGGCTCTGGGGTAACAAGAGCAACAAAGTAGGTGAATAAACACACTTAGAAGGATTTTAAGAATGTGATTAGCTTCATGTAATGTCAAATAAGTTTTGTCACCAGATGAGTTTTTAAAACTTCTCCTTTTAAGGATTGGGAAGCAATTCAGGTGTAGACGCATGATTCGCCTGAGCTGTGAGCACCGGATTAGAGGCCACTTCAACCCTGTAGCCACCCTTCAAAAACTAACAAATCTGGGCTGTATTCTGTATGCTGAAGGCCTCCATGGTCACAGTTCTCCAGCTGCCAAGCTGCACGGCCAGCCCACTAATCCCTGCAGAGAAGTGAGCTTGGTTGTGGCTGCACGGAGCCCGCCATGCTGGTGCGGGTTGAGGCATGTTGCTCCAGGGCAGAGCTGAGCTAGGGGGACCAGACCTGTTACCACCCCTCACCCCACACCTGGCCTGGGCTGGTGTAGATGCCTACTCCACACAGCAAGACAGGTGGAACCCCAAGCATCCAGGCTCCCACCACGTTGACCCCTGCTTCCCCACCAGCAGGAGGAAAACAGAAGTAGAGCAGACCTGAATGAGATTGCAGGGCTACCCAATAGCCTTAGTACTTTTCCAAACCCCAATTAGCATAAATTTGAACCAAAAGCTTTGACCCATGTGCTACATAAACCCCTAGACTAGCACACACTGGCAGCAACCCCTATTGGGGGTTTCCTCTTGCTTCTGCAAGAGTTCAATTTCTATTTTTCACACTTGAATAAATCCTTCTCCTCTCATTCTTGCCTTCTTTTGTCCCATGAGTTTAGTTCTTTAGATTTGCAAAACAAGAACCTGGTAAGAGGTTGTAGTGCTCTATTGGGGTCTGTTGTCACATGTGGAGGGCATGGGCCACCATTTAGAGAGGCAACACACCACTGGATAGTAGTGGAAAAGAATCAGGCTTTGTTGGCTGTGACACTCTGAGCTGACCAAGTGACACTAACAGGCAGCCCCTGCTGTGATTAGCTGCTCAAACTAAAAGGAGCTTTCGCAGCTGCATAGGCCATTACCTTACACAGACCCCACCCACCAGCAGAAGCCAGAATGGAGTTTGGTTTCAAACTTGGTTTCACCATCAGTAAAAAACATGTGGTGTGCATGCCCTCAATACATATGTTTTTATTTGTTAACAAGTCATGTATACATTTGCTGTGCTGATATATTATTTATATGAAAAATATCACAAAAACAAAATTTAAAAAAGTCAAATACTCACTTATTCTCCCTAAATTCCAACATGACACTATTGCTGGCATTAATGAAGTGATGTGATCAAATCTATGTTTTAGAGAGAGATACCTGGGTAGTAAGGGAGAGATGTATTTTTAAAAATTCATAAATCAATAAAGAGATTCCTTAGTCAGAAAGGTGGGGAAATGCCAAATTCACCAAGTCATAAGGGTTCATTTTCTCAGAGCCTTTTATATGCACATTTCTAGAAGAAATGAAAACGGCACTGTTTTGGAGAAACTCAGTCCTGGTGTATGAGAATGAGCCACCACATGTAGACAGTGCCATGAGATGAAAGAAACAGGCAGATGGATCTCAGGTAGCACAAGGTACAATTTACTGGGGATTTATGGAAAGAAGCACCTCTTGAGTGTCAGCAAGATAGGTCTATCCTCACACCCTGAGGCAAGAGGAAGGGATTTATACACTAAACTAGAAAAAAGAGGGCTGCTGCCAACTGGAATGTCCCTGGCCTTTCTCAAATACTATTAATGTGTCCAAGGTCAGTTAAAATGCAGTGCAGGGGTCAGTAGACAGCACGCAAGACGTTTGGCCCACTGTGAACAACTTTGTTT